TTAGTAAAATTGTGAGATTTCTTTATACTGTTTTTTAATATTTAGACATTGTAAATTTCATGTGCAGTGACTGCCTTATTATTTAAAAATTGATAATTTTGCGATTGATTATAGCATTGTTGTGAAATGTTTAATTGTGAATTGACATCTCATAAATTGTGATAATTCTGTATTCTTGAAATTCTATAAGAGTTTTTCTATACATATTAAACTGGAAATTATGCTAGAATGTCTTTACGAACTGCTACCTTTCTAAATTTGAGCCCAAAATATTTGATTGGTTATTTTTAAAATGTTATTGAAAGTGACTGTTATTAATGGTTTCAGTAAAATTCATATTAATGATTTCAGTGATATGTTGAGTACATGATATTGCTGCTTTCGAATGTTTAAAGAGATTTAGAAATACTTTAAGTATGCAAGTGGACTCATCTGGTTTGTCGATGAGGTTTAAGTGGATCCGGGATGCCGGTAGGGATTAAGTGAATTCATTCGGTACGCCGGTGAGGTATAAGTGGACCTGTAGGGATTAAGTGGACCTATCTGGGACGTCGATGGGGATTAAGTGGACCCATCAGAACGCTGATAGGGTATATAGGTGACCTACTTGGGACACCAATAGGGTAATTTTGTGGAATCTTTTGAATTATGCACTGCCATTAAAATGTTATATGCATTTCAATCATTTGGATTATGTTTAATTATGCATTTCTAAAAGTGAAATTGTTATCTATAAATGATTGTGCTCGCATTGTTTTTAATTGACCTCCATTTTGAAAGTTTGTCTATATCTTTCATCGATGATTATTTTTAGGATTATGATGATCACTTACTGAGTAGCCAAACTCATCAAACTATGGTAAACATTTTTCAGGATAACTGCGGTTTCATTTTGAGTGCTCGTCAGGGTCAACTTTGGAAGATATTGTAGTTGTGCCTAAGCTTTCTTTTGTTACTCTGTAAGAATTCGCCACTATAAATTTGTCCTATCAAGAGATGTATATATGTTTTGACTGTCACATCTCAAGAATAACAGTATTGTAAATCCTTGGGGTCTGACAACGAGGTTAAGGGAAGAGAGAGACAATACGGAAGAAGAGATAAAATAGTAAAAGTGTAGAGAGAGTTTTTTATTTAATGTTTATCTTATTTTTTAGTCTATTTAAAGGGAGGTTTCCCTTCATTGTAAAAAAGGTGGATGAGTTAATAAAATTTAGTCTCGTGAAGAGATTTTTGGGGTAGATTCCCTTGCAGACCTTGAGAGAGGGTATATTCTCTCAACCTTCTATTTTTTTATTTTTTTTTTGTTTTATTTTTTTACATCAATTGGTATCAGAGATATTGATACCAGAAAAAAATAAAAAGTTGAGAGCATATACCCTCTCTCAAGGTATGCAAGGGAATTCACCCTAAGGTTGAGAGAATATACCCTCTCTCAAAGTCTGCAAGGGAATCCACCCCAAAAATATATTCACGAGACCAAATTTTATTAATTCATCCACCCTTTTTACAATGAAGAGAAACCCCCCTTAAAATAGACTAAAAAATAAGATAAACATCAAATAAAAAACTCTCTCTACACTTTTCTTATTTTATCTTTTCTTCTCTATTTTTCTCTCTTCCCTTAACCTCACGTACCATCCCCTTTTATCCAAAGCTTAAAAACTACTTTTATTGTAACCTTATCCTTTTACATTCCTAAAGTAGCTCCTATAATTTAACCTTATCTATTTATACTCCTAAACTAATCCAATCCAATTGATCAATATGCACAAGATAAATTCGATAAATTCATGCCCACCTAATTATCCCTGCGCACCTCCTCTCTTATTCGGGAAGAGATAAACTAAAGAATAAAAAATAAATAAAATAACCCTAATATTATTTGCATCATTATCCCCAGGTTGGGAAAAGCTTGACCTCGAGCTCAAAAGTTGGTGATGAAGTCCTACCAAGAGCCTCGAT